AAGGTCCCGGTGTAAGCCTTAATAGTTGGAAGCCTGAAATCTCTATGAAGGGGCATATCCTTACCTTGGGTTCAAGCGACTGCTTCCTCGCCCTCATTTTCTTCTCTAGCTCATTTATCTTCCTCTGCAATAGCTATACCACCTCCTCCTCCATGTTTAGGGTTTTCTTCTGCACCGTGGACCAACGTAAAGCTACTCCACCATACTCATCCACCCTTTCTGAGCACGACGACCGCTCTCCCTCACATATTACTGTCCTGATGTAGTCCATTGAAACCAGTAGGTCATCCAGGCTCCAACCAACCTTCCACTTTGAACACCTTCATCCTTTACTTCCATACTTTGGCCTTGGTTATTAGCCCCTCTTCCTTAGGAGCGAGGTCGGCTGCCTGATGCACGTCTTCCTCCTTGTCATTCGGCTCTTTCCTACCGCAATGACATCACCTCAACTTTATCTTACGGTGGCGGTGGGGGAACCAAAATTTGCATTCCTACCACTAAGTGGGTCAACGTCGTTGCTACTTGTTGAATAACATGGGCACTTGCTTGGAGGTCCATAGGTGGAGTTGGTGTTCCAGGTCCTTATTGCCATTAGGCACGGCTGTTGCTGAGTTGGTTACGGAGATCACGTGAGTTTGTCGATTGGGCGCGTCCACTAGCGTTGCTATTGGGGTTGAGGTTGCGGGAACCATGATCGTTTCTTGATCTAAACCTTGTCATTATTTCAAACTCGTTAATGCGAGAGAAAAACATGTGTGATAGCCTGATTGAGAGATGATCTCAGTCTCTCAATGAAAGCATCAGTTGACGGTAATAATGTTACCGTAGAATATTTGTGTATACGTAAACACAGATAAATTTTATTGCTATAACTTGAGTATAAATTTTAGAGCGTCATCCCCATGTTGTTACATGGGCTTGGCTTTTATACTATACATTGGTAACGATTATTGTACTGGGCACAACAACATCCAAATAAGTGCAACGGATCCCCTCAATATGTGTCGTGACTCCTTAATAATTTATGTGTGCTCTCCTCCTTAACTCCTGCTCTTTGATGACTCTAATAAGTGCATTAGACTCTAGGTTAAGTGCACTATTTCATCTCCTCTATGTTTGACTCTGACCATTACTATCTGACTGTGTTAATTGCTTTGACTACTTCATGATAGTTAGTTAAGATGGAACACATAAATGTGTTGTCCAACTATCAACTTAAGTTTTTTAGTTAAGATGGAACACATTATTAAATTTGATATCAAAGCCATGTGAGATCAACTCTATATCCATTGATATAAGAGCAAGTATTACCCAATACATATTATTATGTAGTGACTGAGAGTTTCATTCGTCACAAAAAAAAAAAGTACTTTTCATGTATGTATATTTGACCAAGTTGCACTTGTGTCATTATTGAATTATAATATCTTGTGCTTGTTTTTTTAAATAAAAATTGATAGAGGTGGCCATACCCTTAGTTAATACTTTTAAAATACATGCGAGGTGTATAATTATTTTAGAAAAATATATATATTTTTTGATGTGTAAAATGGGAAAGGAGTAGGAAGTAGGAAGTTGCCAACCTTACCAAGAATTCGGATTATTTAGGACTCTTTGTACCTTCTACCTACTCTCTCAGTCTCTCCATACCCCACTTGTAAATTGTAATATGCCGGCCCAGTTATTACTCTTTTCCATTTTCTCATTTCTTCTCCGCCCAATATATAGGGGTAGTTGGATGTGCCACGATGCTTCCTTCTCATGTGGAATAGCATGCTGGAAGGCACGTGACCCCTTCACCTACCAACCCCTTTTAATTTTCAACAATATATGTCATATACGTCTGCTCTGCGGTGTATTTGGTTGACAAGTTTAACCCTCAAGTATGAGTATGAAAGTGATTGTTATTGTTTAATTAACTTGTTTTTAAAGCACTATTATGAGTTTGTAATGCCCCATTAATAGAAAAACTCATTCCCTTATTTTATAAGGGTTTCATCCCATTATTCATCCTTAGCCTAACCATTCTCATTCCACCCTACTATCAAACATACAAAATACTTTCACCAAAACTCATTACCATTACTAAATATTTGATACATACATATTCCGATTCCGATTCCGATTCCCATGTGCAAACCAAACACACCCTATTCCTCTCATTTTCCTATTGTATATCACGTATTTTGATCCGAATAATTTATAATATTTATTTAACATTAATTAATAAAATTTATATGCTTAATTTTTTTTTTTATTAAACACAAACCATTAAAATTTAAAATGTTGTGTATATGTAATATATCTTAAATTTTTAGTTTAGATATTATGTAAATCTTGTGTAAGACCGTTTCACGTGATAACATAATACTTTTTTAATTAAAAAAAATTGAAAGGAAAATGAAGCTTTTATTAAATCAAACTTTGAATACAACTCGAAAGAGAAGATAACCAAACACAAGGACCAGTTTGAGAACAAGCTACCCTTCTAACGCGTGAGCTGCTTTATTCACTAATCTAGAAATAAATTTAATACTTTTAAACACTTATATTATGTATTACATTTTAACTAAAAGCTATTATATCACAGTCTCATACAAAATTTATTTTTAAATATTTGCGTACCTTGATAATTTTTTTTTTATTTGAAACGAAACGCATCATTTAAATTTAAATGCAACCAAACAAAAATGAATTGGGCGTTACTAATTAATAATGAATATGTCTTTAAAATGGAAATAAAGGAATTATTCGATTTTAATATTATGTAATGTAATTGAGTTGGCATTCAAAAATTGTAGTGTTTTCCTAAAATTAGAATCTTGTATTCAATTGATTGAATTGAAAATGACCAAATTATATTCCATAGTACGTAACTGTATAGTCATTTTCTACAACCACTTCATACATTCGTACATTTTAATATTGTACTAAGTTTTTAAAATGTTTTAATTAATTTATGAATTCTTTTTAATAACTTGTGACCCAGGGAGATAAACTAATTCATATATAACCATTCCATAAAAAGAATTTTCAACAATATGCTAGAAAATGAAAGAAGGGAGTAAATATAATTATAATATACGAGTAAAAAAAAAAGTATATTTGTCAACTAAAATATTAAGTTGAATATCATTTCAAAGGGCCTAATTTTTGGACTTTTCATAAAAATTTAATTGGTAAACATTTAATAAATGATTATTATCTATGTGGTGTGAATGAGATAACATACCTATCTTTTAACATGGATTTAATTTCATTTTTTGTCCTAAATTTATAGGTTCAATTTTAGTCCTTTTTTTTTTTTTTTATCAAAATATTCATGTTTGGTCCAAGTATTATTGTGATATGGCCATTTTTGAAATGTTGTTAGATGTAAATACATTTCGATCATTTTTATACAAAGTGAGTTGACCTCGCTATGTTTTTATGTTTTTTTTTTTTAAAAAAAAAAAAATCGTAATTGAAGACCGAAATACTTTTGTATTTAATCGCATTAAAACTATTTTGTTGATAAATGACAACAAAGGGTCATGCCACAATATACTATGACCAAATATGAATATTCTGATAAAAATGACTAAAAGTCAACTGCTACCTACAAATTTAGGACAAAAAATGAAATTAACTCTTTTAACATGATAAAAAAAAAATGAACCAAACATGTCGAATATAATGTTGAATTTACCTCTCCACAATCTTGTTAGATTGGAGTGTGGGGCCATTGGAACAAGTAGTGGTGTCAATGTAGACTGCCCACCCCATTAAGCTCACCTCACCGTGTGTTAAAATTTTTGCGAGCACTTGCAAACTACCCGTGAAACTCACAGACTAGAATTCTTCAACTCTAATCCGCTTCATGCGGGCTCAAGGCAAAATAATTTTTATTTTTTTATTTTTTAATGTTATATATATATATATATATATATATATATATATATATATATATATATATTAGAAGCTAGCGGTCCGTGCGGGCTACGAAAATTTTTTAGCCCCTAACCCATCTCAGCGCGGGACAATTTAGAATTGACTTGCGGATTTTGACCCACTTTGACATTTTTAGGACAAGTGGTTTTGTATTTTGTGGGTAAAAATGAACCAAACACGCCTTTACTATACTGTTGAATTTCTTTGAAATTGATAGGATTTTCACCAACCAATCTCCGCATTTACGAAGTCTACCCGCCATTGTCCACTGCAATCTCGATTTGGGCCCACATTTTCAATTCAAAGTTGTTGTGTCCTCTCGTGTTCCCTCTCCTCTTCATTTGTGTTTTTTTTTTTTTTAATTATTTTTTTAATTTTTTAAGGTACATCTCTGTCATCGTTGTTGGCTTCAAGTAAGTACAACCCTCCCCATTACTTCATCACCAAATTTCTTTTGTTTTTCTTGTTTTTGGTCCAAACTGCTGCTGGCGCCAAATTATGCCATGCACCAAGTTTCACCTTATGAAATCTGATCTAAAATAACATTTAGATTATATGTTTGCAGTTAACATATTATATATCTATAAATAAATTGAATACACATAATATATTAATTAAAGATACATAATTTATTGAGTACAAACACCTAATATGTTTATTCTTTTCAAAAGGTTGAACTCCAACCCTGGCTCGACCTTTGCTTACTGCACAGAAAGAGCCATTGGTTGCTCCCACACTCTTGCTGGTGAGACTCGATCACTGATCATTCTTTTCAACTTTCACCTTTATCACCATTGAGCTGTCCATGTGGACAAATGCAAGGTGGGCCCTGAAATAAGATTTACCAACACCAATACGGCAATACATTAATGTATTCATGTATAAGAATCTGCCTACCCAGTATAGTTTACCATTTCCACAATATCTTTTTCAAATCCTAATCAGCAACACATGGCATGGTCACACCTACAAATCTACGTGTACCCAAACATTTACTCGTTTGTTTATTTCCAAATTAATCGAGTTGCGGTTTTTTTTTGTACTAGGATGGGTATAAATACCGGGTAGGAGTATCAGGCTCAACAAACCCAATCCACAATGCCATTTTCTTGCTAACCCAAAAAAATCCATTCTTTAGATTTTTTTTTTTTTTTTTACTTTCTGAGTTTAGAGATTCCATTTTCCCCATTCTTTTGTTGTTGATTCTTTGAGTTTGGGTGTTTGTGAAGATGGGTAGTGTTGGGTTGCTGAAGAACACCACCATGGTGTGTGCTCCATTGATGGCTCCTTCTGTGGAGGAGCTGATCAATGGCATGTATAGGGCCAAAGAACAAGGGGCTGACTTGGTTGAGATTAGGCTTGACTCTATCAAGGATTTCAATCCCAAACAAGACCTTCAAACCCTCCTCAGGAATAAGCCTCTCCCTGTCCTCATTGTTTACAGGTATCTCTATCTGTATCTATATCTATATATGTGTGTTTCTCTGTTCTTGTGGATTATCTTTGCTGTTTTTGCTATTCCTCATGTGTTTTGCTTCCCATTCTTGCAAATAAAAATCCCCGAATCCCACTTGTAACCACAAGGTCACGAGTTCTTGTCCCCTGGTTTGAGCCCGTCAGCTATGGGTAATTTAAGCTGGTTTACTTTGAGCCTTTGCCGGCTAGGGTCACAAGGCTGGGTTGTGGGTTTCTCTCGGCATCAAAAAACAAACAAAAAAAAAACAATTTTTTTTTAATAGTATTGGCATCATTCATTCTTGGCTAACCTGTGATTGAATCTACCAGAAAAATTGATTTGGTTAGGTTTGGTTACTGGTTTAGTGAAATTTCCCTTTTCAGGCATAAATGTTTTGCCTTAATGTTTACTCTATTGTTGTTGTTGTTGTTGTTGTTTATCACAACAAATGCTAAAGTTAACAATATCAAATTATCAATCATAGCCCAAATAGTCCCTTAATAACTGGAAAAAACAAATAGAATCTCATATATAATGAAACAAAATATAATTCCAACCAAAAACTTATTTTGCCTCTTGGTTCTGCCTGAAGGCTTGTATAGTTGTATACAAATTTGGTGGCTTGTTGAATGAGCAATGTGTGACAGCTAGTCTAAAGCCAACTGGATGACATGTTTGAATGATTGTTCAGGGGGACCACATTTTTTGCTGTAATTTTTTTTTACTGCAGAATATATCTATAGTAATTAATTAGAACTTGCAAGGGTATATACCAAAGGACATTCTTCATAGACTGGATTTTTTTTAAAAAAGCTTCATAGACTCTTTGTGCTTTAGTAGGTTGAGAAAGTAGCTATGAACATATACTACATTGTAACAGAGTCAGTAGTACTAAAAAAAAAAGATTAGCTAATTTAATCAATAAATATTAAAAGTTGTGGCACAAGTCACATCCTTTGGTACAAAAATTCAGTCCATTTCACATCAGAAAATTTACGAGGTAGGTCACCTCTGTGGTTGATATGAATCCACAACTACCAAAGAATGGAGTTGTTTTGCTCTTTTTATTTTATTAAATTTTATCTGTTCTTAGATTGTAGATATATTATAAAGTTCCAAGTAGTTTCCCAGAATTCTGAGTGAACAGCAAGAGAGAAATTGATGGTTTAGTTGAACTGATAGAATGGAAATTATTGAGCTGAAAATTCAAGGAAAAGAAGTCCTGAATTTGATAATATGGTATTTTTATCGAAAGGTCAAAGAAGAGGTTTCTCACAAGATTTCTGACAACTAAATCTCTATTTTTCGAGTTTCAGACCAATCTGGGAAGGTTATAACCTGGAAGGGGATGATGACAAGCAACTTGAAACTCTTCGTTTAGCCACCGAACTGGGAGCAGATTACGTTGACTTTGAGCTCAAGGTGATTATGACAGTTAGCGTTAATACTCCTCAAATTAAAAATATAAAATTGATTATTAACATTTTTTAAGGTTAACATTTTAGAAATGTATTTTTAGCTGATTTTGTTCAAGTGAAACTTCATTGAATGTAATTTTTTCTGTGACTCAGATCGCTTATGATTTCAAGAAAGAGGACAGAAAGAACTGTAATGGATCGAGCAAAATGATTGTATCGTGCTACGTTGAAAACCTCGTCTCTTCGAAAGAAGATCTGAGTGATGTCGTTGCACGTATTCAATCCACCGAGGCGGATATCATAAAAGTTGTTACAGACGCAACCGACATTACAGAGCTTTCGAAACTGTTCCAATTGCTTTCACATTGTCAGGTGCCGGTTATTGCTTATTCTATTGGCGAGAGAGGTCTTATAAGTCAGTTGTTGGGCCCGAAATTCGGTGGTGTCATAGTGTATGGATCAATTGAAGGGAGCCCCGTGCCCGGTGTGCCAACTATAGATCACCTTAGAAATGCGTACCAAATTGAGGATATGGATGCGGATACAAAAGTTTTCGGCCTCGTTTCAAAACCCGTGAGCCATAGCAAGGGACCTCTCTTGCATAATCCGACATTCAGACATGTGGGCTACAACGGGATTTATGTGCCAATGCTTGTGGATGATCTTAAGGAGTTCTTTAGGGTCTACTCGAGCCCCGACTTTGCTGGCTTCAGGTATGCAATGCTTCAACTCACGGTTTAATGATAAAGCTTCATTTTTAGTTCAATCGAAATATGAAAAGGAAAATTAAGTAGACGTTTATTTTCTTGCTCGAACTGCAGTGTTGGGATCCCATACAAGGAAGCAGTGGTCGATTTTTGCGACGAAGTCCATCCACTTGCTCAGGTTGGAACAAACTCCACTCGAAACACTATAATTCATCGATATATCTAGTTTGTTTTCGGCTCGTAAATTGATTATATAGACAGTGAGAACCTTAGTGAAAATATTACTCAACGTTTCCTGTTTCATCAGTCCATAGGGGCTGTAAATACTATTGTGAGGAGGCCTAGCGACGGGAAGCTTATTGGCTATAACACAGATTGCGAGGCTTCTATAACGGCAATTGAGGACGCTTTGCCTTTGACCCTGAAGGGTACGAATCTAAATCTCGTTACACATGATTTCTTTATTCTAACCATGGAAAACATCATTGCTAATTGCTAAGTGTTGAGCATAAAACCATTAATGTGCAATCCAACTATGAGCTTAGGCTTTTAGTTGAGATGGAGTACATGATTCAATTTGGTATCAGAGTCCGACCGAAGCACACGTAAGGGGGCATGTTGAGCATAAAACCATTAGGCTTTTAGTTGAGATGGAGTACATGCTTCAATTCTAAGTTGCGTATATAATTCAAGATTCTTCCGAATGAGGATTAACCGGTTCATCGTTAACTCTTTCAGTTAATGGATCGACAAATGGAGCAGCATTCCATCATTCTCCACTCTCGGGAAAACTATTTGTCCTGGTTGGTGCCGGAGGGGCAGGAAGAGCGCTGGCATTCGGAGCAAAGACGAGGGGAGCTCGGATTGTCATTTTTGACATTGACCTCGGTAATACCATCAGCATTCCACGACTTGTTGGGAAATTGTCTCGATTGGTGTCCCAACTTATGTGTTCTTTCTTTTTGTGTATATATAGGTAGAGCAAAGGCTCTTGCAGAGGCAGTCTCGGGTGAAGCTCAACCATTTGAGAACTTACCTTCTTTCAAACCCGACAGTGGTGCGATCCTTGCAAACGCAACGCCTATAGGAATGCATCCAAACACAGACCGCATCCCTGTGGCAGAGGTTTTCCATCTACTACTAGAGAACACGCCATTTTCATTTGAATACCGACACTATATATACTAAACTATATATATGCTCTCGTCTCTAGGCAACGCTGAGGGATTACCATGTTGTCTTTGACGCTGTCTACAACCCTCGCATGACCACTCTATTGAAAGCAGCCGAGGCTGCTGGAGCCATCACTGTTAGCGGAGTTGAAATGTTTCTCCGCCAGGCTATGGGCCAGTTCAATCTTTTCACCGGGGACAAAGGTAAACGAATCCTCCTTCTATGATACAGCCTTAGGAATCTTAGATTCCTAAGACCATTTTCACTATTTATAATTAATTCTAGATTCCTAGTGCCGTACCATACCCGAAAGTGCGCACTGGATAAAGTCCGTCTTATGACCCTAGCCTGCAAAGAATCACAAGGGGGTAAACTAGCCTAGGTTGTCCTTAGCTGATGACCGGCTCAAACCGAGAAGGCTTGGCTGGGGCACGAACCTGAGACCTCACGGTTATCAAGCCAACTGCCTAACCAACTCGGCTGGAATTGTATTGGATGAAGTCCGTCTTGTGACCCTAATCTGCAAAGAACCAGAAGGGGGTAAACTAGCCTAGGTTGTCCATAGCTGACGACTGGCTCAAACCGAGAAGTCCTGGCTGGGGCTCGAACCTGAGACCTCACGGTTATCAAGTCAACTGTGAACTGCCTAACCAACTTGGCTGGAATTGCCCCCGGTGGCGTACCATTCTATGTGTTCATCAGAGTTGAAACCAGCATTCATTCCATCCTTCTGATTAAAAACATGTCTGTTTGTGGTTTTCTGCAGCACCTGAAGAGTTCATGCGGGAGATCATTATGGCTAAATTCTGATTCTCAGAAAACATACATATTGTGTGGAAGGATTTAGTGAGACAAAACAATAAATATTGTGAAGAAAAGAAATTATTGACCTGAAAACAATTGAAAGTATAATGGAAAGCTGGTTTGGTGATAGCATATATGACTACAGCTCCTCACTATCACTTGACCACTTTACAAAGTGTATACTGCTAAGTGTTTAGTAGTGATATTTATTTATATATATATATTTTTAATGGGAGGAACCTCTGATTATTTGTAATTAATAAATTATTATATAACTTATAAATGCAACTATTTTCCCATGTCAAGTATTTTTACTTGAGAATGTAGATCATTACATGCCTACTAGCATCAACCAAACTTGTCTTAACGTACATCTAATGCAATTGAAGATGTAGAATTGAAATGCCTAGTTACATTTGAAATCGGTGAAAATAACACCCATTAGTACATTGAGCTTTTACCCTTAAGGCAAAAAACCAAATTCCATTCCAGCCAAACTCCATGGAATTGCAATAACGTTTTGCAGAAAACGATTTGCTGGTATTTGGTTGAATGCCTGAAAACTATCTTTTTCTATTTTGCTGAAAGTTAAAGGCATTGTTTGGTAAAAAATTGGCCTATAGGCTAAATTTGTCTTATTTGACCACTATTAATTGTTTAATACATTGATTTAGTTAAAATATCAATATAAATGTTTGGTTAATTAGCTTTTTGTAACTCCAAAATGCTAAAATTCAAAAATTAAAGCTACTCCAAGCAATTTTTTCAATTAGCTTTTTCAGAAAAGAAATTATACCAAACAGCTATCAACTAATAACTAATTTACCAAACACTTTTCTACAACAGCTAATGTTATTAACTAGTTATACCCTCTAAATTCCCAACCGCTGTATTTTCTATGTTCCCTGATAAAACCCCGGGACCGGATGGGATGAAACCCGATTTCTATCAGCATTTTTGGGATGTAGTTGGAGTGGATGTGTCTTTGTTTATTATTAACACTCTAAATTCGCGTGTTCTCCCACGTGGTTTAAATGATACGAATGTAGTTCTAATCCCAAAGAAAAATGTGCCTGAGACAGTAGGGGACATGCAACCGATTGCTCTGAATAATGTGCTCTATAGAATTATGGCTAAAATGATAGCCAACATGATGAAACCACTTATGGGAAATCTAATCTCGGAGTCCCAAAGTGCTTTTATTCCAGGCAGGTTGATTACGGATAATATTCTGGTAGCCTCGGAGGTTGGTCACTTTTTAAATACGAAGCAATGCGGTAAGGTTGGGTGGGGAGCTTTGAAATTAGATATGGCAAAGGCGTATGACAGAATGGAATGGCCGTTTTTTAAAAGAATGTTGAAGGTAATGGGGTTTGATAAAAGGGTGGATTGATCTGACTATGGTCTGTGTAACGATTGTGACATATAATATTGTGGTAAATGGTGTGCCTGGAAGCCAAATAATTCCAACTCGGGGTCTCAGGCAGGGCGACCCCCTATCTCCCTATTTGTTCATTATTTGTGCAGAAGGACTATCTTTGCTATTGCAGAAAGCTCAATTAACAGGATCAATACATGGATGTAGAGTAGCTAGAGGGGCCCCCCAGTGTCACATCTTTTCTTTGCAGATGATAGTCTATTATTTTTTAAAGCAAATTTGCAGGAGGCCAGTGTGATTAAACAGTGTCTGATGAGGTATGAGAACCTGTCTGGTCAGATGGTAAATTATCATAAATCTAATATTTGTTTCAGCAGGAATACCACGGGGGGGATAGAGATGTGGTGGCAAATTGTTTAGGGGTGGATCAGGCGCCAAATTTTGGTAAATATCTTGGTCTGTCCCTAAAAATTACGGGGGTTTGGGTTTTAAAGATCTTCGTTCCTTTAACCTGGCTATGTTGGGGAAACAGGCATGGAGATTTCTTACTAATCCGACCTCTCTTGTAGCAAGGATATATAAGGCTCGTTACTACTCGGCAACCTCTTTTATTGATGCTAAAATGAAAAATTGTCCCAGTTACTGTCGGCGGAGTATAATGGCTGCACATGATATGGTTTGCTCTGAGGTTCGGAGAAGGATTGAAAATGGAGAAACAACTCTCATCTGGGGCAACCCTGATTACCTGATGATCCAAGCCCTTTAATACAGACAATAATGCTTGAAGAACTGCGTGAGGCTAGGGTGGTGAGTTTGATTGATCAGCAAACAAATTCATGGGATCCCCATATTCTATGTGATTTGTTTGAACCCGAGGATGTGGTTCGTATATCTAGGATCCCTATTAGCCCGGATTATGAGGACTCATGGTATTGGTATAGGGATCCAAGGGGAATGTATTCTGTTAAGAATGCATATAGACAGATTGTTGGAGATTTTGAGCATAATCCTGGTGGCTTTGATAAATAGATATATTATGGAAATTGAAGGTCCCCGAAATGCAAGACTTTTTTGTGGGGAGCTATATGTGATATTCTCCCTACCACAAACAACCTGATTATAAAGAGAGTGGAAGTGGATCCAACATGCCCTATGTGTGATATATCTCATGAACATGTTATGCACACACTAATTTCTTGTGACTATTCTAAAATAGTATGGAATATTTCGGGTTTGCCTATTACAAATTTGTTGCTACCAGTGTTGCAAAAATCACGCCTAGGCGCTAGGCGGTGGGAGGCCGCCGCGAGGAATGGCCTCGGCGGTCGGCCGCCTAGACCGCCTAATCGGCAGGTTCGGCGATTTTTTTTTTTTAATGAAAATGTGGGAAAAGTTTCGGAAGGCATAACTTTTGACTCAGTTGTCCGATTTGGACAATTTTTTTTTTTCAAATCGCGTATTTTTTCGAGATCTATCCACCGCAAACAGCCAAAGGCGGTTTGGTCCACTAATTTCTCAAAAAGTGCTTCTTTTGCTCTTAATTTTAATTTTTTATGTATTTAGATGTTTTAAACAATCTTTTGAACAATTTTACAACCACTTTCGTATATAGTTTCTAAGAAATAACTATGGAAACCTTATGTTTTATTACTAAATTTTGAAAATTTTTAATTTTATTTTTAATTAAAAAAAATAAAAAATAAAATAAAAAATCGACGCATAGGCGCCCCCTTGGCGCCTAGGGGCCGCCTAACTTTTTTGCAACATTGATTGCTACTACTTTTCCAGTATGGCTAATGGGTACGTGCTATGACCAACTTAACAAAGGAGCAATTTGCCATGATGGTTGCGGTCCTTTACCACTTATGGAACGCCCGAAACAATGCCGTATGGAGAAGGGCCCTGCTGCACCCAACCGCTACATGGAGAATATCCGCGGCTGCCATGGCTGCTTATGCCAAGGCACACTGCCGAGGCGGGATTCGTGCTGCACAGCAGGCTGCACCATTACCGCAAGGCCGCACACGCTGCTTCTTCGATGGAGGATACCGCCCGCATTCGGGCGACACAACTTACGGAGTGGTACTGTTTCACCCGGATGGCTCTTTCAAGGCGGCAACAAATGGCAAACTCCCGAGTTGCTTCTCACCCCTTATGGCAGAGGCTCTTGCATGTAAGGAAGCGTTATCATGGCTCAAGGAGCGTAATGAATTGGACGTGGATCTGTTGACTGATTGCTCAGAACTCCGACACCATTTACTATCTAGTCCTACGACCATCCTATCCTATGTAGGGGTGGTGGAGGACCAATGCCGGGCAGCTATAGCCCTTTTTTCATATTGCTCTTTGAATGTTATTTCTAGATTAGTTAATGTTAGTGCTCATACTTTAGCAACGTTAGCTTTTGATCAGGATCACTCTATGTACTGGGACTATGTCCCCCGTGATTGTTTGGCTCCTTTCATTAATTAAAATATGCCATTGCTCTTTGGCTTTCAAAAAAAAAAAAAAAAAAAAAAAAAAAACTAGTTATACCCTCTAATTAACACAATCGCTAACAGCTAATAGCTATTTATCAAACAGGGCCAAAAATTACATTTGTATGTTTGATTCATTTTCCTTGAAAATGAACATATAGTAATAATAATAATAATAATAATAATAATAATAATAATAATATTATTATTATTATTATTATTATTATTATTATTATTATTATTATTATTATTATGTGGTGATTTGGTGATGATGGTGTTGTGATAGTGGTGGTGTTGTAGTAGTTGTTGTTGTTGGTGGTGGTGGTGGTAGTTATTGGTGTTAGTGGTGGTGGTAGTGGTGGTATTGGTGGTATTGGTGGTATTGGTGGTGGGTGTTGGTGTTGGTGATGGTGCGGTGGTGTTGGTGATGGAGGTGTTGGTGGTGTGGTAGTGGTGGTGGTGGTGGTGATTGTGTGGTGCTGTCGGTGTTGGTGGTGATTGTGGTGGTGAAAGTAATAAGAATAATTTGAAATTTAACTTTTACAAAGAAGAGAGTGAAAAAAGAGACGGGAAAATAAAGAATTAAGAAAATGTCTTTCGACTAAAAAAACTATGAAGATATTTTTTGTCAAATTGAACTTCTTTTTTGTTGACCAGAATGAATATTTTCCTTTGACTTTATTTTATTTGAATACCCAAACACTAGAAGAAAATGACTTCTCCAAACGGACACTAAATTTTTCCAAAATTTCCCAAAGATCATATGATTTATTTATTATTGTTTACGTTTGTTTGAATAAATAAACACTAATGTACCCTTTTAAAAGAGTTTTTAATTTATATTAACTTTTTTTATTCAATTATATTTGATTAATAAATTAGGACATGACCCTAAAACTTTTTCAGACTAAATTACTAAAATGATCATTTTGCAACATTGATTTTTTATATTTTGTTTTGCATTCTATAATGTCACTATCTAATTTCTATTTATTTGTCATTCAAGTGACTAAAATATGTACAGATTTGGACGAAACAATACACATTTAAATAGTAAAGAATATTAATAAACAAAATTAAAATTATAAAATTAATATAATTAATGCACGAGTTGGATAATTTACTCATTTTTTTTTACTCATTTTTACTATATTGTTTGAAGAGGAGAGGAAACTAGGGGGTGTTTGGTTAGATGTAATTTGGGTGTAATTGAATTACAATTCTGTGGAAGATCCAATTACGTCGTTTGGTTGGAGGGAATTCCAATTCCACCGAATTGTAATTTACTCCAAATGTTGAATTCTAATTCAGACTCTCCCCTCAAGAATTACAATTCGGCGAATTGAAGGGAAAAGAAAAGATAATTTAATGACCATTTTACCCTTTATCTTCTTTTGTCTTATTACCTCCTCTTCCTCCTCCTCCTTCTTCCTCCTCTTCTTCTTCTTCTTCTTCTTCTTCTTCTTCTTCTTCTTCTACTATATTCTCACTTGCATACCAAACATTGTAATTTGAATTTCTACTTTATTCCTATTTGCATACCAAACATTGTAATTTGAATTCTGGTGCAAATCAAATTCCGTGTGCTGTTACAGAATTAATTCCAATTTTGAATTCTGAATTCAATTCTCATATAGTGGCCTGCTGTTATAGCTGTTGGAAAGCCAGCTTTAATGTCAGTTTTAATTGCCGTATTAAAAGTTATTTAACTCCTTCATCCCTATATAAGAGATGGTAGTAAGAAGCAGATTTTTACACAACAGAGAGTACAAACACACTACACGAAAGTATCTTTTTCAAGCCTCAAAAATCTGCTTATACTCCTTTTCTTAAGCCTACTGTGTTCATAGCCTTGCTTTGTTCGTCGGATTTCTTGTTTGGGTGCTCAAACATTGAATCATAAGCAAGTTTTATCTTGGGAAGCCTAGGCCCGCTCCTAGCACTTTTGGGAGGTGGCAAATAAGGTTTTAAGGAAAGAGTGATCGCTTGACTCTTGCAAAAATCCAACACCAAACACTAGCCAAATTCTCCATTTTTTCCTTCCCTTATTTTTTTTCCAGAAAAATAATAATCTTATTTATTTGATTATTATTTATTTTCTACCAACGGATTTCCAACATACATCGACCCGACAAAGCATTTGAGAATATATATGTAAATCACGGTGACTCAATGACTCATAAGACATGGTCAAATGTCGGTGCGCATAAGGGACACACAAAGAGAACTGCCTACTTTGGACATAATCCCCACATTGCCGCTACCAAAGTTTAAACCTTGGTTTCTTCTCTAAAAAACTGCCTACTAAACCAATAAGCTAAGCCCGTACGGATACTTCACATGCCACTTGAGTGTATTAGCGATACTCGATACTTCTTTGTTTTTTGTTTGTTTGTTTTTTTGTTTTTTTTTTTAATAATTATTTTTGTTTTTCCCCCTTTTCTCCTCCATCTCTCTCAAACAGTCAAACCTTAGCCGCGCCATTGGATGCACAATCTTTAATCAAATGGCAATCATTTTGAAACCTTACTATCAAAACGGTATATAAATATAAAAATATATGAAAAAAAAATAGTTTGATAGTATACTCAAAATTGATAAAAATAAAATATTGGATATATCCAAACCAACCCGAAATAGTTTCACCCGAACCAAACATAACCGAATTAAATTTGATTCGGATATTGAGTGTCAAAATCATCACCCGAATTTTTTGAATATTCAAAATAAAATTAGAGTATCACCCAAACTAAACTGACGCCCACCCTTAGTTCTAGTTCACGGTTCTGGGAAATAATAAATCAGAACCGTATTTCAAGTTTGAACCGTCGATTTGATATATATATATATATATATATATATATATATATATATATATATATATATATATATATATATAAAAGTGTGTGTGTATTGTAAATTCTATTATCTATTTTTAAAATAGTTCAAATTCAATAATTATTTTTTATTTTTTATTTTTTTCGGTTTGGAACCGGAACCAAATCGGTTTTTATAAATTGAAACCAAAACCTTTTTCGATTTCAATTCTGATTCGTAACCGAAACCATCCCTACGGTTTTTGTTTCATTTCAGTTGCTACAGTGTTTGGTCGGTTTGAACTAAACCATGATCATGCCTACATATAAGCAATAATTTGTTAGGTAAGAAAAATAAATGAAATACTTAATTTTAAGGATAAAAATATCTACTTAACATAAAAGATGAAAAAATTGTCAGTTTTAAAATAATTGAGGAGTCTAATATAGATACATGAATAATTCAAAGGAAAAAACTAACGTTATAAGCACATAATATAATTCTAGTGAAAAGTGTCATTTTTCCTAACTAAAATATATAAGTAAAAATTTGGACAAATTAATTAAAACTAATACCTACCTCCGGATAATTGGCTAATTGCAATAAATACAAAATTAATAGTAAAGAATATTATTAAACAAAATTTAAATTCATATAAATTATTTTAATAAATTAAAATTACTATAATAATTAATGCCCCGGCCATTTGGATAATTTACTCACTAATTTTGCTATATTGTCCGAAGAGGAGAAGGGTTATGCATGCCATCACCCTCAAATCTAAGCCGTCTCAGCCGTTGGATGCACACAATCTTTTAATCAAACGGCAATGATTTTGGAAACTGATAGGCATATTACAAGCCTCGCAAGAAGCTCCCACCATAATAATAATAATAATAATAATAATAATAATAATAATAATAATAATAATTCCCAAAATGATCCTCATTTCATTTCTCCCAGCAGATAGAAGAGAAGAAAACCCTCACCTTACCTTACCTTACCTTCTTCGTCTGCCCATTTTTTGTTAAGCTTCAATTCAATTCTCCCCTTTCATGGAAGACAGTGATGGCGGTTTTGGGTACAACACAAATTTTCGTTCGGGTCCTCCTAGGTTGCCGTTGGACAGGTTTTTATGGGCTCATCATAGTCAACAGCAAGTCCCAAACGTTGATGATGAGATGAAGAACAGATCAGAAACAATAATGTTCTTCCCAGGAAATAGGGTCGGAGAACATTCCAGCAGCCATGCAGTAGCGTCGTGGCCGAATCCCCAAGAAGTAATTAGGTTTTATGAGTTTATTCATGGAGTGGACAGATCGCCGCCGGTCGGTAATAACGTTAATGAATCGCCGCCGGGAAGGCAAGTGAAGTACTCCCGATCTTCCACTTCTACGCTGCTGATCAGAGGTCAGTGGAGCGAAGAAGAAGACAGGTATATATGTACTCAGATTTTTTTTTTTTTAATCTACACAAGCAAAGAAAGTTCATCATAAAGCCATTAATATAATGGATGGTTTTTCTTGTTTTATTCTTCTGGGTTTTCAGGAATCTGATCAGGTTGGTGAACCAGTATGGAGTGAAAAAATGGGCTCAAGTCGCCGAGATGATGGCCGGTCGTGCCGGAAAACAATGCCGGGAACGGTGGCAAAACCATCTCCGTCCAGATATTAAGGTTTCTTTCATTTTAGAAAAATACTATGGTCCTGTTTGGTAAAATGGCGGTTAGCTGATAGCTGTTAGCAGTTAGCTGATTGTGTTAATTAGAGGGTATAAATAGTTGATAACATTAGCTGATTGTAGAAAAGTGTTTGGTAAATTAGCTGTTAGCTAATAGCTGTTTGGTATAATTTCTTTTATCAAAAAGGCTAATTGAAAAAGTTGCTTGGAGTAGCTTTTTGAATTTTAGCCTTTTGGAGTTATAAAAAGCTAATTAACCAAACATTTATATTGATATTTTAACTAAATCAAACAATTAATAGTGGTCAAATAGGCCAAAATTGGCCTATAGGCCAAAATTGGCCTATAGGCCAATTTTTTTACCAAACAGGGTCTATGTCTACTCCCATTTTCTACTCTCAAGACACAAAATCTGACGCTTGTATTGGGATTCACATGAAAAAAATGCTTATAAGGGTCCTGTAAATTTAGAGAGTAAGATTTAGGAGCACAAAGTCTATGGTACCATTGGATTGGACATTATCTGTGTCTCTCACATCATATAAATACAACTCAAACAACATTTTTCAGTATGTATCACGTCTTCAAATATTTTTCCGAAAATATGATTTTTTTTTTTTTCAAGATCAGGTCTTTAAACTTAAATAATTGCTTTAACCAATTTTGATGAATGTCATAGGCATGTCTGATAGATTATTGAAATGTGGGAGATTAGAATTATGGTTAATATATATAATTAGATTTTCGAGTGATTTTCCATATAAATTTTAAATTCTCTTTAGTGTAGTGTTTTGACATTATCATTTTTGGATTATTTGGTTTAATTTTGGTCTGTAGTTAATTAATATAATGGAGTTACAGAAGGATAGTTGGAGTGAAGAAGAAGAGAGAGTGCTGATAGAAGTGCATGAAAAACTGGGGAACAGATGGGCGGAGATTGCTAAAAGGATTCCTGGGAGGACTGAGAATTCCGTCAAGAATCACTGGAATGCCACTAAGAGACGCCAGAATTCCACAAGGAGAAGCAAGAAGGTTCAAGAGAATAAATCCACTGTTCTTCAGGACTATATAAAAGCTAAGTATCCTCCGAAACTGGATTATTCCGGCGCCGGCGTGTCAGAGAGCCGCCCTTCAATCCAAACTGACCAGATTTTGTCACCGTCGGCCGGCGAGGATGATGATGATGATGATTCTTCCTCCTTGCTGATGCAAGAGGCTTACCATGACGAGGATATGAGCTTCATGGAGAGCTTATTTGGGAACGACTCCACTGATCCCTACCCGACAATAATGGCGGCGGATCCCGGCAACCTTAATAAACATAACGAGGAACCCATTCCGCCGCCGCCAGACCGTTACCTCGCCTACTTGTTGGAAGGGGCGACTACATCACCGGCTTCTTCATCAATGGAGTTTACGATGAACCAGCTGGGATCATCGTACTGTTATCCTTCGTTGTCAAGTGGAACAAAGGCGGCTAAGGATATTGACTTGATGGAGTTGATATTTCCTTCTCCTTCTCAATCATCTCAAGGAAGCAACAACAACACCAATTAATCTTCTTGCTATTATGAGTACGTACTAATTATAATGCATGCATTCGAGTCGTTTGGTTTTGACATTTACCTTTTCAGGCTGTTGTTAATGGACATTTTTCGAGATATGTTTGATAATTGTGAGGCTCTGACGGTCCGGAAAGCGTTGAGCTGGTTTAAAGGGCACAATTTTGATGGGGTACATCTTGAAACTGATGTTCGATCAACAGATCCTTATTCAGCTTCATAAGGATGGTTTGATCTTTCGGGATATTGTTTCTCTTTTATCTTTATTTTCTAATGTGAGTCTTCATTTCATCGTTAAGCGTTCTGCTAATTTTATGACACATCTTTTAGCTAGAAACGTGTTTTATTGGGTAATCGGTTTTGGTTTGATACTGACCCCTCTTTTATTTCTCAAGTTTTGTGTAATGACGTTATGGTTATATAGTAGTTTTTCGTGGTTTGTTTTTCAAAAAAATTAGGGTAATATAATGGAGTTATGATATTGAGTGTAGGTCCATGATCTAGTTTGTAATTTCAATATATATGTTTTAGGTGAAACTTCTATATGTATTATAATGTTTGATGACTTTGATCAACTTAATGGTAGCTATCTAGTAAGTTTGTGTTTACATGCCAATGTGGTTTAATTACGCAAATATATATTTTTCCTAACTAGAATGATTGATCAATGTGTATCTATCAGACTAATCCAGTAGAGTGTCATTTGTCGGAGGCTCTAGTTAAAAACAATGTAAGTATGTAACCCTATTTAATCAATGAGACTAATTCAGTCGAGTGTCATCGATCAAAGACCTATCTCAATTTAAAACAACGTAACCTATTTAGAGCAGTCTCATTGGTGGAGTAATTGGGATGGTTATCAGGCTATGGACTACTCTAATTGCACATTGAGCTCTTAGAGAGTAAGGTAAATCGCATTAGAAAATTAAAATCTTGTATAATAAATTCTATTAAAACAGTTGGCAATAATCAAACCTATAACCTTTATATATTAGATTAGGTACATTTCATTTACTTGATCCATCTTCTCGAGGTTGAGTCGTCAACGTTCTTTGGTCATGTTGTATGTCCTAGTGGATGATGAATAAAATGATGTAATTGCATATAACTAATAGGACGAGTCAGCGTTTTTGGTCACGTATGCCCTAGTGGGTGATGAATACAATGGCGTAATTTCATATGACTAATAGGACGACGAGTCGGCGTTTTTGGTCACGTATGCCCTAGTGGGTGATGAATACAATGGCGTAATTTCATATGACTAATAGGACTCACGGAAATGATGACTCACACCCTTAAGGCTTAGTGTAGTGATTTGTTAGTTGAAAGGGCAGCGCGCAATGTGGGGGTACGGGGAAAAAAAGTCCCAAATGATCATATAGAATGTGTGAATTGGATCTCTTGTGCGTAAGTGAAAATTAAAAATTGACCGCTAAACTGATTGGATGACTTGCAATTTATCTCTACATACGGTAACTAATCTTTATATAATAATAATAATAATAATAATAATAATGATGATGAAATTAATATATGTTTATATAATTATATATACATATGTGTATATTTATATATTTAGTTTTTTTTTTAATATTTAAGTTTTGATATACATTCATAGATATAAATAAAAAAAACACACATAATATATATATATATATATATATATATATATATATATATATATATATATATATATATATATATATATATATATATTAAGGGCATTATTGTAAATTGATCTATATAACCTAAAATATAACTCTGAACCAAACAAAGTAATATTATATTACACCATCCAAACCAAACACACAAGGTAATCTTACATTCCCAAAATCTCACATTACCTTCCAGAGGTAATCATATTACCTAGGGTAATCCAAAATTCCGTGAACCAAACGCCCCCTAAGACTAATCTAGCAAAGTTGTTATCACCTAAGTAATTTTAAAAAAAAAAAAAAATTGTGACTACATTCAACTCCTAATTGAAGCAGCTAGAACATGCATCTATGTCAACAGACGTTGATTTGGTTTTATTAATTAATTTGAATTATATAATTAAGGTTTCTTACGTTGTTCCTACGTCATGATAATTAACTACAAGAAGACACTGTTGATTTTTATTTTTATTTTTCCTACTCGTATACCGTATATATCCGCTCCCGCGCGAGGTGGAAATTAAGTATTAGAGCATTAAATTGTTAGAAGAATATATATGGTGGCCAGGCCACGAATTTAATTTCGACGGTTTCGATCTGTTGAAGAATAATATTATTATGTTGATTAATCATTTTTATGGAGTACATAGATGAGAGAACGACTAATCATATGCATATCCAGCATATTTTGGGGGTAATTTATTGGTAAATTATATTATGCTTCTTTTTAAATAAATATTAGGCATTGTACGTCTTGAAAGATTAAATCTAACATCTTATTATCAAAATATAATATTAATTGGTGTGACGGACTAACTAAATAAAGTTGTATTTTGCTATTAACTATAAATTTTAGCGTAGTGATAAACACGTACTTAATCTTGAAAATGAGTAATCATGTATAGTGATAAGCACAATCGTTATGTTGTGCATCCGTATGCACCATGCATGGTGCATACGGATGCCAAAACGACGTCGTTTTATTAAAAAACGCGCGTCTCCCCTTTAAAAAAAAATTCAGGTTCGATTCCCAGCAACAACATTATATTGTTCATTCATTCTGGAATTTTAGTTCATAGATTATGGAATTATAGTTCATTGATTATGGAATTATAGTTCATCGATTATGGAATTGTAGTTCATCGATTCTGAAATTTTAGTTTATAGATTATGGAATTTTAGTTCATTCATTCTGGAATTTTTAGTTCATAGATTAGATTATGGAATTATAGTTCATTGATTATGAAATTATAGTTCATCGATTATGGAATTATAGTTCATCGATTATGGAATTTTAGTTCATATGTTGTTGCTGGGAATCGAACCTGATTTTTTTTTTAAAGGGGAGACGCGCGTTTTATTAAAACGACGTCGTTTTTGCATCCGTATGCACCATGCATGATGCATACGGATGCACAGCATAATTTGCCGTGATAAGCGTTTGATTTTAATAGAAAATTTTGCAATACTAGATGGCTAGAAGAAATACAAATTACTATAAAATAGAAGGGCAATGAATTTTTGTGAGCAATGCAATTAAAAGTATTATTTTATCTATAAAATACTAACAGTCATTTTTTTTTTGGGGGGAATAAAAAAGACATGGTAAACTCATAGGAGCAAAAAGCAATAAGCTCCATTTTTAGTGTGCGTTTTGCTCACCAGTCGCACAGAGTTGCGCGTGTTGCACACACTGGCTGAGTTTCTTTTTTTTTTTTTTTTTCTCCGTTTCCCTCTTCCCTTTCTTTCCTTGTTGGCGGTTAAAAAACTTGCACAAAAACTATACTATTGGCCTTAGGATTTTGCAATTAAGGTGATGTTTGTTAAATAATCCTTTATGCGCTATAACTTAAATGCGGAAGCACAATTAACAATGATCGCATGTAAATCAAATCAATAAACTAAACAATGTTCATGATTATAGACTTTTAATTAAATAGGGAAGATAGGACTTACTTGGTTCCATTGAAGATGTAATCTCTAAATTGAATGAATCAAGAATATAATGCTTTACCTAGGGGTGGAAATGGGCCAGGCCAAGCCAGGCTTTTAAAAATTAGGCCTGGGCCTGTTAGGAAAAGGTAAAGCCTAGGCCTGGGCCTGGGCCTGTATGTATGCTTTTTTCTAGGCTCAAGCCTGAGCCTGCAGTAGGCCTGGCCTGGCCTGAAGCCTTTTTAAAAGCCTATTTAGTAAATAGGCTTTTAAAAAGGCTTCAAAGTAGGTTCTAAATAAGCTTTGAGAATATTTAAATAGGCTCAAAGCCTATTTAAAGCCTACATTTTAAATACTGTAAAACATAATAATATTATTAAATTACAATCAATAAATAATCATAAACTATAAAACCAAGTTCATATTTTATAATAAAATGTCCAACAACACAAGTTTAATAAGTAGGAGTTCATAATACAAAAATCATACAAGTTTGATAACTTCAAGTCTACAAGTCCAATGTCCATAGACCATAATACAAAAGTTCATCACAAATTCACAAGTTTAACAACAACAGAAATCATAAGTCCATAATACAAACATGAAACATTAAACATAATAACAACAATAGTATTCACACATAAAATTAAGTCATGGTTTCAACATAATCTCCTCTTGTCCAGAATTCTCCTACAGAATATTAAAGTTCAACAGAATTCAAGAAGTTCAAGTGCTCATAATTCATAAATCATAAACCATAAATATTAAAGTAACAAGTAGTAATATAAAATAATATAAAATATTAAAGTAATAAGTAGATTCTTACCTTTTGTTTTTTCTTCAGCCCATCTAAATATTATAATTTATAACTAATCAATTTATACTAAACTAAAACAGCAATCAGTTTATTACTAAACTAAACTAAAACAACAGATTAATTACTAAACTAAACTAAAGATTTATTACTAAACTAAAACAACACAGTTTATTACTAAACTAAACTAAAACAAAAGATTATAATTTATTAGCACTAGCAGTATAAATAAACTAAAGATTAAAATAAACTACAGTATATTAAACACTAACTTCACTAGCAGATTAACTATACAGTATATAGCAGATTTGCAGATTAGCAGACGAATGACAGTATATAATAGGTATAAAATGTAATATATAATAATTAAATATTAAATATATATTATATATATATATTATATATAAACAAGCCAGGCCTGCAGGCTCGTAGGCCAGGCTTTTATATATAGGCCTGAGCCTATTTACCTAAATAGGCTTTTAAATAGGCCCAAGCCTGACCTTTTTATTAAACAGGCCAAGCCAAGCCAGGCCCTAAATAGGCCAGGCCATAGGCCCCTGTGTAGGGGCCTGGCCCATTTCCACCCCTAGCTTT